TATACGAACTATAGGGGATGGGGGTATAGGGGATGGGGGTATAGAGACTATAGGGGACCAGGGTATAGGGGATATGGGGGACAGGGGGAACACAGGACTGTAGGGGACAAGGGGGTATAGTGGATGCAAGGAATGCAGGGGCCCTATAGGGGATAGGGGGTATAGGGGCTGCAGGGGGCCTATAGGGGTCTGGGTGGGCTATTGGGGACAGGGGGGTATAGGGGCTGGGGAGGACGCAGGGGATATAGGGGAAGGGGAGCTATAGCGATCAGGGGGCATCGGGAACAGAGGGGCACAGGAGCTGTAGGAGAAGGGGGACTATAGGGGACAGGGGCATGACAGGGGCTATAGGAGATGAAGGGAGATAGGAGACTGTGGGGATGGGGGACAGTGAGGCTATGTGGATGGGGCCTATAGCGGATGGGGGCTATAGGGCATGGGGGGGGGCTAGGGGGCTATAGGGGATGGGCAGCATGGAGGCTATAGAGGACAGGGCTAGGGGGGACTATAGGCGATGGGAGGCATAGGAGAGGGAAGTACAGGGCCTATAGGGAATGGGGGATAGAGGGGAAGGGGTACAGGGCACCATGGGGAGGATATAGGGTATGGAGGATATAGGGAATGGGGCTATGGGCGCTATAGGGGAGGCTGGTGTGGGTCCCTAAGGGACGTATAGTGGATGGGGGACACAGGGAGTTGTTGGGGCTATAGGGGATGGGGGGCTATATGGCAAGGGGGCTATGGGGGACTTGGCAAGGGCACATATGGGGGCTATAGGGGTGTACAATGATGGGGATGCACTGCGGTTTAGGAGGGGTTACAGAGGGGGTATGGCAGTGCATGGGGACATATGGGGTGCATACGGCGTGCCTATGCATGGTGATAGGGGGACGTATGGGAGCGTACTGAGGTACATGGGGGTATGGAGAGCTATAGGGGAGTACAGGGTGTGGGATGTATGGCGGGCATGGGGCCAAGGGGGTGTGTGGGGGTGCCTAGGGTTTACATACAGGTGCACAAGGTGTCTGGGGGTATATGGGGATGTATAGGAGTGCATAGGGCAATGCATGCAGGTGTATGACAATGCACGGAGGACTGCATGGGCATGTCTATAGAGGTGTAGAGGGGCACAGAGGGGCTCTCCGGTCTGTATAGAGATGTATAGGGGATTGTATCAGGGTCCATAGGGGAGTGTAAAGCAGCATATGGAGTGTTGTATAGGAGCACGTGAGGTATAGGAGCATGCAGGGGTGCATAGGGGCATCTATAGGCATGTGGAGAGATGCAGGGGCAGCTATAGGTGCACATATGCACATCTATATGTGCAGGTGTGTATATCTGGGCATACACAGGGCCACCTATAGGCCCTATACATCTATAGGTGCCCGTCCCGTCTATAGGTGGGGCACCTATAGGTGCCTGCAGTGTGACACTGTGTGCAATCCGCATATATATAGGGGTTGCCCTTAAAGATGGGGGGGCGTAGTGCCTGTATAGCACTGCTATAGCAACTGGGGATGGTGTTGCCATGGCAACACATCCCCCAGTGCTATGGGCTCACAGGGTGGGGGGGTCGTTAATAAGACCCCTCATTAATGAGCCCTCTTGTTAATGCTTCTTCCCCCCCCCCAGCACCACCACCGAGCCCCCGCTGAGACCGCCCTCCTGCTTGTGACTCCTGTGGCACCACTGGTAGGACCCAGCTGGGGGGGGCTCATTAATTAATTAGCGAGGGAAGGGCTAATTAAGAGCCCCCCCCCACCCAAAGCTCCGGTATGCGGGTGACACCGTGCCAGGCCACCTTGGTGGGGGCCATCGGCCTCAACCTCCTCGTCCTCTACTGCGCCTGGAGGGGACCAGGGGGGTCTCCCCCCTCCTGCCGTCCCCCCCGCGGTGTCCCTGGCATCACTGTCCTTCTCCGGGACTTCGAGGACTTTGAGAACGACCTGGCAGGGACGGCCCGATCCTTCGCCTCTTTACCTGTCCCGGTGCTGGTGGCTGCTGAAACGGCACCGTATCCACCAGTACCGTTACCGGCAGAGGTTGGCCTGTTACCGCTGCGTCCTGTGGCTGACCGACCCCCGCCGTTGGCGCATCCTGAGCTCCACATCCGCACCCGCCATGTGGCTTTGGTCCCGGATGGCACCCGCGCTGTCCCCGGATTGCTGGAACGTATGCGGGATGCACTGGAAGAAGGTGCCGGTGACACTCGGTTGGTGGCGGCACCGGTGGGATCAGTGCCGTTGCGGTGCCTGGAGCTGAGGTTGGAACCGCAGGCGTGGACGGCGCGGTATGGCCCCAGTGCACCGGGGGTTTGCCAGGCGGTAGAGGGAACAGCGGTGCTGCTACTTCGCACCCGCGACCTCTTCGCTCTCCCCTTCCCCTTGGCGCGACCAGTGCCCACTGCGCTCTTCATCCAGGCAGCGTTCCGGGGCTGGGGGCTGCGGTTGATGCCGGCAGCATTCCCGGCTGCTCGCCGACCTCCCATCTCCCCCCATGGCCGCTGGAAAGCCGAAAACCTGGCGGAAACCCGACAACGCCGGTTGATGCACGACCTTGGCATCAAACGGGAGGTGCTGGCGGACGGGCGGGAGCGCTGGTACGGCTGCGGCAAGGAGACGGCGCGATGCTTTGGCACGGTGCACGCCCGTACCCCCCAGTACCTCCTTGCTGGGCGGTGGACCCCCCCATGCTGCCTAAGGGCACTGCGGGAAACCGCCCGGCACGTAGCCAGGATCCTGGAGGCCACTGGCGTACGGTACTGGTTAGAGGGGGGGTCGTTACTGGGGGCTGCCCGCCTCGGGGACATCATCCCTTGGGATTATGATGTGGATTTGGGAATTTACCGGGAAGATGTGGGTAAATGCCGGTGGCTGGCGGCGGCAGCAGCAGGGGAGCCGGTGGAAGACACTGAGGGTTTCCTTTGGGAGAAGGCAGCAGAGGGAGACTTTTACCGTGTCCACTACAGTCGGAGCAACCGGTTACACGTGGACCTGTGGCCCTTTTACCCCCGCGGGGGGGTGATGACCAAGGACACCTGGTTGGGGCACCCCCAGGACATGGAGTTCCCTGAAAGTTTCCTCCGTCCCCGGGTGCCGATGGCTTTTGCTGGTTTCACTGCCATGGCACCCAACAATGCCCGTGCCTTCCTCGAGCTGAAGTTTGGGCCGGGAGCCATCGAAAACCCTGAGTACCCCAACCCTGCCATCAAGCGCCTGGGGCAGGACTGAGGGGGGGGACAGGATGTGTCCTCAAGGGGGTCCATCCCCCGCCTCATGACAATAAACCCTCCTGTAACACCCATGGGGCTCCTTTGCGCCAGTCTCACCCCTGGGTGACACCCATTGGGTACTCTGGGAGTCCCTCTGCCACCCTGATCCATCCTGGGGTCCCTATGCCATCCTAGGAGGTCCCTCTGGGCCACCCCTCGGGACCCCCATCTACCCTGGGGGTCCCTCTGCCACCCTAGCTGTCCCCAGCCACCCTGGGGGTTCCCAGGAGTCCCCAGGGGTCCCTCAGCCATCATAGGGGTCCCCCCAGCCATCCTTAGCCCCCACCAAAGGGGCTCCCCAGCCACTCTGGGGGGTCTCTCTGTCACCCTACCTGTCCCCAGCCACCTTGGGGGTACCCTGAGCCACCCCCAGGGTCCCCACTTAGGCCCAGGAGTCTATCCATCCTGGTGTTCCCCCCAGCCATCCCTGGGGGTCCCTCTGCCACCCTACCTGTCCCTGGGTGCCCTGAGGGTCCTCTGGGCCACCCTCAGGGTTCCCAGGAGTCCCTGGTTAACCTCGGAGGTCCCCGCAGCTGCCCCTGGGGGTCCCTCTGCCACCCTACCTGTCCCCAGCCACCTTGGGGTACCCCAATAGCCCTTAGCACCACCCAACGTCCCTTGGGCCAGCCCCTGGGGTCCCCATCCCTCCTACGGGTCCACTAGAGTCCCTGGCCACTCCCCCCAGCAGGGACAGGGCCATGGACAGAGGCAGAGGAGCAGGAAGGGGCTGGATGTGGGGGGACAGTGACCCCCTGCCCCACACTGACCCAGCTGTGGGGGGCCTGGCTGAGCCCCCCCACCCCCAGTGGGGCAAAGGAGTTGGGGGGGGGGCTTGTGGCCCCGCCCATTTTGTGCCAAAACAGAGGCAGTTCTTCCCCCACTCCCCGACAGGTATGGGGGCTCTGGGAAATCGCAATCACGTTTATTCACAACACGATGACGGGTACATGGAGAAGCAGGGGGGAGGGCGACAACACACACAATACCAAGACCCCCACGCTGCCCCCCGAGGGGCTCCAAGGGGGGGGGGGGGGAGGGCGGGGGGGGGGGGTTTGGTCCCAGCTCACTCCAGTGACTGCAGCATCAGGAGCTGCTTGAGCACCTTGGTCTGGCTCGTCTCCCGGATCTCCCCGGCCAGGAACATCTCATCCACCACTGTGTAGACCTGCGGCCGGGCCCCAGCGGCGTAAGGGAGCATCCCCAGACCCCCAGGACTCCCCCACATGGGGTGGGGGCTCCCCCAAACTTCTCCCCCCTCCAGGGCAGGAGGGGAGTCCCTGACACCCCTTTCCTCACCTTGTAGAAGTTGAAGACCAAGTCGAGCTCACAGACGTTGTGAAAATATTCATTGAGGACCTGTGGGAGGGAGGAACAGGCAGGATGCGGCCCAGTGATAAGGAACCGGGGAGCGGTGCAGTCGTTAGCGCAACCACATTAATTAAAAGCCAAGGAGCGAGGAAAAGGGGGGTGGGGAGTCGCCTCACCTCCACGAAGTTGTGGATGGCTTCAAGGTAAGCCAGATTGTTGTCGGTGACGTCAACGCAGATGCAGAAGTAAAGCCCTGCATAGCGTCGGTAAATGATCTTGAAGTTGCGGAACTGGAAGGGAGGGGGACACACACATAAAAAAGGGGAACTGGGAGGACTGGGAGGAGCAGGATGCAGCCAAGCACAGCCGCATGCTTCGTCCCCACTGGTGAAAGCCACAGCACTCAGACTCGAGGCTGCTCCTGGAGCTCCAGACTCATCTCCTGGATTGGGAGGGAGGGGATTTGGGGTGAAATTGGAGCCTTTTGGGGCTGTTACCTCCACAAAATTGGTGTGTTTGGCGTCGCGGACGGTGACGACAGCGTGGACCTCCTCGATCAGCTTCTGCTTCTCATCATCATCAAACTGCATGTACCACTTGGCCAGGCGGGTCTTCCCGGCCCGGTTCTGGATCAGGATGAAGCGGATCTGCACCGAAGGGGGGGCAAAATAGAGGAGTTGGGGGGGGCAGAGCCAGGTTTTGGGAGTTCCCTCCCCCCATCCCCTTTTTTGGGGGTATTTTCTGCCCCCCCCCCAAATGTCTCCCTATAGGGACCCTGTAAAGTACACCTCCCCGGCTGCTCTGCCCTATGGGGCACCCTGGTCCCCCCCCAAAGGGTCACTATAATGGGGCACACTATGGGGTCGTCCCCCCCCGAGCTGCCCCAATAGCCCTTCCCTAAGGGGTGCCCTACAGGACCCCCCTCAACCTGCCCTGCCCTACGGGGGTGGGGTGTCCAATACCCGCCCCCAAGCCACTCCCTATAGGAACACTATAAGGGGCCACACTGTGGACCCCCCCCCAAGCCACCCCTCTCCACGGGGCACCTCAGTACCCCCCCCTCCCCCAGTAAAGACTCTACAATGGGGCGCCCTATAGGGAACCCGCCCGACCGGACACCCCAATATCCCTCCTCCAAGGCCTTCCCCCCCCTTGCAGACAGCGTCAGGGGGAGCCCCCGGCCCCCCCCCACGC